AAGAACTTAGGACTTGTAAATAGTGGATTATGAGTGATCAATGGGGGAGATAATATCTTGAGGAGGAGTCTGATGACTCTGCCTAATGCTATAGTAAAATTTGAATTATGGGACGAGCTACGAGCACAGTTAGAACACGGGGATTATGGTAGTTCACTACCTGAAAAGTTTGGCTAATCTATTCTAATGAAGTCTCTTGCTCCTTGAGAGACTGTATAATACTTGGGGAAGAAGATAGGTAATAGAGTATTTGATTTTCTTGTTACCTTCAAATGGTGCAGGCTCTAATATTTATATCCACATGTGGGGTGGTCCCTTTGCATCATCACATGGTCCCTAAATTTGTTAGGGTTTTTTTAATAAAATATTGGGCCATTAGAGGCTATATTTTCTAAGTGTGACGTGACCTTCTAGAACATGTTGAGGTGGCCTCATTATCCGTCTTTGTGCTTAGACACGTTATGATCTTCCATTCTCTAGAAATGTTTGCTGCGAGGTCGTACTGTTTTGAAATAACCTTCTGATGTGGTCTCCTCGTCACACATTGTAGTTGACCTAGGCAACTGCACTTGAGGTCGTCCTCGATCGATCTGGGTTTCTTTAAAGAGTAATGCTACACTGACCAAATTAAAAGCCCAAATGACATGGCAGTACATTATTTGAAGTTTTTATTGGGGTTCAAATGACATGACACCAAATAAATAAGTCCAAATCAGCTATAATGTCATTTGAACTCTTAATTTGGTCTCAAAATTTGGTCGGTATAGCATTATTGTTCTTTAAATCACAATGAATATGGGTAACCTTAACTTTCCTTCTAGATACTTGAACGCAAGGGTGGGGAATATACCTTATTTGTAAGCACCTTTCAGGCCCATTGTCTAATCCTCTTTTATTTAGTTATGATACCATTTTTAGGCATCATCATCATGCAACGAAGAATTGGCAGTAAAAGATAACTAAACCTACTAAAGCAATGTCATAATTAAGAGCTATGATGGGGGTCATGAGGGCTATGGGAGCAGTTTGCAAGGTGACTGTAAATGGGCCGTAGCTAATTCGACAAATCCTCAATCCATTTGCAAAATCTCCAATTGGTATATACGTAATCCACCATCACACACCCTCACAAAGCCACAATTAAATCTCATTAAATAAATCATCTCACCAAGAGTACTTAATTTAATATAATACATTCATCGGGGGCATCAAACAGAAAGAAAAGCTTATTTGGATTTAATTTGAAAAGCTCAATCATTCGATTGAAAGTGAATTCAATCAAACATTAAATCTTACAATTAATCAATAACAACATTGAATTAAGTCTCTCAAATTAGATTCGTATAACATTACTCGAAACAAAAACATAAAGGATTTAAAATCTCATTAAACAAACTATCCCACCGAGTGTACTTGTACTAATAAGCACCAAGCACTTCACTAATAAAAAAAATAAAAAAAAAAGGTATCGATGACATAATGCATCACTGGGGAGCATCAAACGAAAACTTAAAACAACACTGGTACAATAGGACCAAAAAATAATTTAAAATGATAATAAAACATACATTTTATGAATAGAATTTTTTACTGATCGAAAATTATTCTTCTTTTCTAATCAAAGATCAAAACTAGTGGATGCAACGATTAGATCATAAAGAATATATCTTTAAAATTTCGTCAAGATCTGACTTTGTCACACCAAGTGATCTTGACATCGAACAAAACTCTCTTGTATACATATTTATTTATATCTATATCTATGTGTTCATTTATATTTATATTTTTTCTTTCCATTTCCGTCGTTAATAAATCACTTAACATATATCAGCTAGGGACTCACTTACGTAGATAAGTTCTACTTTTATCGACAATAGATAGTAAGTAAGCAAGTGGAGTACAACCCACTATCACCTATATTCTGTTGCTAGCAAAAAAACTGTACCACATCCCCAATATCACATATTTATAGAGTGTCGGCTCTGATTTGTTGATACGAATGATTTTAAAATTGACAAGATTATTAAATATGCATTATAAATAATTTAAACTAATGTTTGATATTCAAAACACATTGAATAGAAAAAAATTTTGTGGATCTTGACACATATAAAACACAAATAATAATGATAAGACATGAATAACACAACATATAGATCACACGAATACGACACGATTGACACCCCTACATATTTATATCTTGTCTTGAAGTGTGTATTGCATCGTTACATGACATTCGTCTACAATTAACTTGATATACGTAAAATATTATAATTTTATTAAGCTACACTTTTTTATTAGATGAAAAGTGCAAGTATGATACCAAAGTCACTTGACCCATAACATATTAGAATCTGTCAACAAAAGACAAAATTTTGTTGGAATATAGTCCTGATACTGTTTTGTTGGTTTTGTATAGCGGATAATTAACACAAATAATACTTGTTAGAAGATAAAAATTTAAATATAAAAAAAATAATAAAAATATGATACAAAAATAAAATGTATTTCGATACAACCTAACCACCTTGGTACACCGTACCTACATCCACAGACCAAGAATCTATATCGATATATTATTCATCGAATTCTGGTCATCTGATAATTGATTACATAATACATAACCCTATTTATAAGGATAAAATATTGTAACTCAAATTTATTCAAATACAACTTGATATTTATGTTTCATATCACATGTCTAATATAATCATATTTCATATAAAAATTTTATATTAATTATCCAACAAACTGTTCTTCACGACAACTCAAAAATTTGGATCAAATTCCAACAAACTTTAACATCCTATGGCTTGATGAACCATCCTCAAGAAACTTGAATTTCAAATCAAACAAACTACTTCTGAAAAGGCTTATGTTTCAAATCATTTCCTTCTTCTGAAGATGTTTATTTTATCTAATGTACAACCAATTGGTCCTTCTCTGACCTAAAAAGAAATTCAATTGGACCTTTGTGAGGATAACATAGTAGACAAAAATTTCGATTTCCTAACCCCTCCTTTTATGAACTTATTACCATGTATGTAATATATTTTCTTTCACCTGCCCAAGGCGTTCATCTAGAACTATGCATTCATTTCGTTGAATATGAAATTTTAAATAATAACCAGTCTTGAGTTGTGGAATAAAAAAAATACCCAAGTTGAGTGAACTTGTCTTTTATTTTCATGGCACATATATATAGGGCTCGAATTTCAATCAGTCTTGAATTGTGGACTCTAAGTTTAGTTCATGTTCAAGTTGTATCATTTTAGATGCGTGTCAAGTATTAATTAACTCTTATACGACATGTTTAACTAATCATGTCAGATAATCATACACTGATTCAGGGGCAAGGCCAAGAAAGTTTTTTAGGGTGGACACATTAACACATTTAAATTTTTTTTCAAATGGCTGTAAAAGTTCATAAATTCATATTTAATACTTAAAAGTTCAGTAAACATAGTAGATTAAAACCCGATATGCATAACATGAACAAATAAAAAATAATTAAAACTACTCATCCTAAATGAGACTAATTATTGTCACTTATAATTGACCTTAAAATTTTTTTTTTTTATTTTAAAGAGTTTCAATTCAATCTTATCAACAATATTTATTTTATATATAAAATCATAATAACAATCTTCCATTTATGATATTATAGTTTATTAAGTTCATAAATTCATATTTAATACTTAAAAGTTCAGTAAACATAGTAGATTAAAAATCGATATTCATAACATGAACAAATAAAAAATAATTAAAACTACTCATCCTGAATGAGACTAATTATTGTCACTTATAATTGACCTTAAAATATATATTTTTTTTATTTTAAAGAGTTACAAATCAATCTTATCAACAATATTTTTTTTATATATAAAATCATAATAACAATCTTCCATTTATGATATTATAGTTTATTACATAACTACACACATTTTTATAAAATAACCCTTCAATTTAAATAAATTACAAAATAATCTTATTTTGTTCAAAACATATTCAAACATATCTAAAATGTGTCTGGAAGTTAACAATAATATTGGTTGCACCTAATTTGATATTTAATTGGTGGAGACCCAATATTTTGTTACCATTGAAAAGATAGTAGAATTTATTAAATACTAAGACTCACTATGAGAGACTCAATAGTACAATGGATTAGTTTCTTAAATTAGGTCTCAATAATATTGTTTAAAAAATTAAAAATTATTTAGGTAAATGTCTATTCAAATTGATATCACCAAAACACCATAATAGGGTGAATACAATTAAATATGTCTAAATTTTATTTCACAAAATTCATGTCTAATACGAAGAAGAAAAAAATTGAGGGAGGCACCCCTAGCCCAAGGGTGGCTCCACCCTTGCGCTGATTTGATCTATTTATTAATTATATAGTATTTAAGTTAACATGCATAATTTGTGAATCATAAACCGCTAAGTATGATTCCCTTCTCTCTAATTCAAATCAACACCTCGTAGATTTTTCCCAAATTAAAAATAGCAACTTCTAGATATAATAATCAAAAAACAGTAGATCAAGAAATTGAAAGAAATAAATAAAAAAACACCAAAGATTATTTTGATCTATACTGATTAGACTTATTAATTGTTTGAAATCAGTTTATTCGTTTTGACTCTAATCAAATCGATTAATTTTTGTATTAGCGGATCATGTTATTTTTTATTTCGAATAAAAGATCTCAATTAATTTCGTCTAGTGACTCGTGTCCATTATTACCATCCCTTGGGTAGAAGCCATTTAACAAACTAAAGACCTTTAATCTCATTATCTCATTTATTTTCTCTCTCTTTCTCAATTTATTTAGACAAAACCAACAAAAATTTATTACGGTCCCGAGACACAAACTACCGGTGAGACTCGGGCTCTCTTCTTTGCTTATAAAAGGGGTTTCACTTCTGAGGGTTCATTCCTTTTATAAGGTGGTTACCTTATAGTCACTCACATTGAACACAACCAGTAACAAGCCATGGCTATCTTTCCATTTACTAAATCATGGCTTCCTCTTCTTCTACTCCTCTCTCTGCCTTTCCTTTACCTATGTCTTCTCTATCCAAAGAAGAAAGCTGGCAACCGACCCAAGCTTCCTCCAAGCCCTCCGAGGCTTCCCGTCATAGGCAACTTGTACCAGCTAGGAAAACTGCCTCACCAATCCCTACGTCAACTCTCGCAGAAATACGGTCCGGTCATGCTGTTACAGCTCGGTAACAGCCCAACCCTAGTCATCTCGTCCGCAGACATGGCTAAAGAAGTCTTGAAAACACATGACGTCGACTTTTGCAGCCGGCCGCCGTCTCCCGGTGCTAAGAGACTTACCTACAATTTCTCAGACATGGCTTTCACGCCATACAGTGATCACTGGCGAGAGATGCGCAGAATCTTTGTAACAGGGCTTCTCAATCCAAGGAGAGCGCAATCGTTTAGGCAAGCAAGGGAGGTTGAGATGAATAATATGATAAACTCTCTACTACTAGCCTCACCTAGTCCTGTTGATCTTGACGAGCAAATCTATAGTTTTATGGATGGGTTTCTTGGTACAGCTACCCTGGGTAAAAGCTACAGAAGAAAGCAATTTAAGGGTCAAAACTTGAAAGATGTTGTTGAGGAAGCCATGAGAATGATGGATGGTTTCTCGGCCGAGGACTTTTTTCCATGGATTGGCAAAATGGTAGACACTTTAACTGGGCAACGTGCAAGGCTAGAGAAGTGCTTTAGTAACCTGGATGGTTACTTTCGAATGATGCTTGAAGAGCATCTTCACCATGAAAGACCTAAAGCTGAATATGAAGACTTTGTTGACGTGTTGGTTAGATTATCAAAAGATGAAACTGGTCCTTTCCGTCTAACCAATGACCGTATGAAAGGAATTCTTCTGGTAAGAAGTCTTAGTAAGTTCCTGTTATATGACAGTGTCTTTCCCCCACCCCTAGAATTTCATTTCTGTCACTCATTTAATGGTGGATTTTGGTTTTTTAAGTTGGAAAGGAGATTGTAGCAAGCAACATGCAGTCAAAATTACGAACAATGGATTAGTTAACTAGCCGAATACAGAGGCTTAAACCACAGTTCATTTGTTCATATCTCCATGTTTGGAATAGTCTCGAGTTTACCTGATGCACTTGATTGATTGCATAAAATTGAGTTTTTCATTTTGATCATTAGTGCAATGATTGTGCGGTTGGTAAAAATAAAACTTTGGGATATATTAGAGGCAGGTCGTGTCACATGTTGAAGAGGTTTGACATTCATTTTCTTACCAATCTGACTAGCAAAGTGGTTCCGAGCATATAATTGTTATCATTGTTTTATATGTAAAATTTATCAGCGGCTTCCAAGCTTGTACTTTTTCTGAGTAAATGTGATTTGTCTTTTTTTTCTAATTAATACTTCATCAAAATTGTAGAACACTTTTCTTGGAGGAATTGAAACGAGTTCCGTCACATTGGTGTGGGCAATGTCCGAAATTGTAAAGAATCCCCTGGTGATGCAAAAGGCGCAAACTGAAGTCAGAGGCTGCATTGGAAGAAAACCAAAAGTTGAAGCAGATGATCTTGCAAAGCTAACATACTTAAAAATGGTGGTGAAGGAAACCCTAAGGTTGCACCCAGTTGCACCTCTCCTGATCCCACACATGTGCCTACGCCATTGCAAGATCGGCAGCTACGATATTCACCCGGAAACAAGGGTCTTAATCAACGCATGGGCAATCGGAAGAGATCCAGAGAGCTGGAAGAATCCTGATGAATTCTACCCGGAGAGGTTTGAGAACAACGACATTGATTTCAGAGGACAACATTTTGACTTTTTGCCATTTGGGGCTGGTAGAAGAATTTGTCCCGGAATAAATGTAGCCATCGCAACTATTGAGTTCACATTGGCCAACCTTTTGTACTGTTTTGATTGGGAAATGCCTGGTGGCATGAAGAGAGAAGATATCAACATGAAAGAGGAAGGTGGCCTTACCATCCACAAGAAAGAACCCCTTTGTCTTGTGCCCATTAAGCATAATTGGGAAGAGTAGGAAGAGGAAATGTTTTTTTGTCCCAGATATTGTGATGTTTACTGTCATTCGGTGTTCTTCTGTTAGAATGTGAAAAACATGTTGGTCTTAGATTAGGCTTGAACTTTGATTAATTAAAAAAACAAACAAGAGACAAACAAGAAACACAGGGAAAACTTTAAAACTAAATTTTTCATTCCATTTTATTCTAGAAAAGTCTCTTAGAAGTTTTATATAGACACTCTATATATTCTAGAAAAGTTTCACACACTTTATCTAGACACACTTAAATATAGACACTTCATATATTTTAAAAAAGAATCTTACAATCTTTATTTAGACGCACCCAAATAATTCTAGAGTTTTCTATCTTTAGACCTAATTAAATACAATAAAACATAACTCAAACACACACTAACATTTTATGTCCCAATTACAAACATAAATTTTTTTAACCCAAATACAAAATAACACAATAAAGGATTAACTTTAACACTCTCCTTTAATACTTTGTTATGTGACACCCAACATTTCCTGAAAGCATTGAAACTTATCCTTTCTGAAGTGCTTTGGTGAAGATCTCCGCCACTTGATCATCCGTCTTGCAATACTTGAGTTGAATCTCATCATCTTCCAGGGCCTCCCAGATAAAGTGGTGCTTGATTGTAATGTTCTTGGTACGGTTATGGTAGACGGGATTCTTTGTCATTGCTATCGCCAACTTGTTATCACACAAAATTAGAGTAAGCTCTCCTTGCTTTTCACCAACATCTTCCAAGTTTATCCTTAGCCATATTGATTGTGATGTTGTCAATAATGCCGAAACATATTCGGCCTTGGCAGATGATTGTGCTATCAATTGTTGCTTCTTAGATGTCCATGAAAAAACACCCAAGCCAAGAGAAAATGCATAAACGAAAGTGCTCTTCATATCATCTACACACCCGGCCCAATCGCTATCGCAAAATTCAATCAACTTTGTATCCACATTTTTCTCAAACAAAATCCTATAATCAATAGTACCTTTGATGTATCTCAAAACACTTTTTGTCGGCCCAAAATGAGTTTGACTTAGACTATGCATAAACCGAGATAATAAATTTGTAGCAAACATAATGTCCGACCTTGTAGCTGTCAAATATAACAAACTTCTAACCAAACTTCTATAAAGAGAAGTGTCAACATCTTTACTTCCATCTTCTTTTGTCAACTTTTCATTCACACCAAAGGTGTAGCAACCGACTTGCAATTCACCATTTTAAACTTTTCAAGGAGAGTTTTTGAATACTTCATTTGGGAAATAAAAACACCATCTTCATTTTGAAAAACTTCAAATCCCAAGAAGTATTGCAACAAACCCAAATCACTCATCAAATATTTTTTAATCATGTCTTTTTTCAATTCTTCAAGCATCTTTTCATCGGTAAAAATAAGATCATCAACATAAAAAGAAACAATAAGAATATCGGTGTTACCTTATTTTTTAATGTACAAGGTTGGCTTGCTTTTGCTCATTTGAAAGTCTTTATTGTTGAAGTAGGAATTGATCTCGCTATACCATGCTCGGGGTGCTTGTTTCAACCTATATAATGTCTTCTTCAAGTTGTAAACTTTATTTTATTTTCCTTTGACAACAAAGTCTTGAGGTTGATCCACATACACCTCTTCTTTCAAGTCTCCATTTAAAAATGCGGACTTCACATCAAGTTGGTACAAGAACCATCCCTTTTGAGCCGTCAAAGCAATAAGTGATCTAATTGTGTCAAGTCAAGCCACCAGTGCAAATGTTTATTGATAATCAACACCCAGTTGTTGAAAATACCCCTTTGCAACAAGCCTTGCTTGGTTTTTTTTGAATTGACCTATCCGGATTAAGCTTTGTTTTTTAAATTCACTTTACACCAATCACTTCTTTTTCTTTGAGTCTCTCCACCAACTCCCATGTCTTGTTCTTTTCAATCACCCGAATCTCCTCTTGCATTGCTTTCTTATAAACTTCTTGTTTAATTGCTTCTTCAAAGTTTTCCGGCTCTACAACACAAAAGTTGTATCTTGCATACACATCACTAAAACTTCTCATTTTTCTTGGAGTTGAACTTAGAGACGAATAACTTGAGATTGATGGAGTTGATTGTGGACTAGCAATATGAGACATTTGATTTGGAACATCAATATCCTCATCATCACATTTGATTTGGAACATCAATATCCTCATCATCACTTTCGTCATTCCCCACCTCTTCATAAGTAGGAGAAAAATAATTTTACACCTTCTTTTCTTTCCAATCCCAAGAGGCTTTTTCATCAAATATGACGTCTCTTGAAATGATCAACTTATCTTTGTTCAAATTGTAACAAATATACATTTTTCACTAACTTTATCAAGTTTATGTCTCTTTTCTTTGGGAATGTGTGCATAACAAATACACCCAAACATTTTCAAGTGATTAACCGAGGACTTTCTTTTACTCCAAGCTTCAAATGGAGTTTTGTTAGAAAAGGCTTTTGTTGGACATCTATTCAACAAGTAAATCGCGTATTAACAGGCTCACCACAAAAGGTTTTGGGCAAACCTTTTTCATGGAGCATTGATTTAGACATTTCTTCAATTGTTTTATTTTTTTTCTCTGTCACACCATTTTGTTGTGAAGTGTACTCAATGGTCAATTGTCTTTCTATCCCAATATCTTCACAAAACTTCATAAAATCATTAGAGTTATACTCACCACCTCTATCACTTCTTAACACTTTCATAAGATGATCACTTTGTCTTTCAACAAGACTATGAAATTTTTGAAAAATATTAAACACATCCAATTTATGTCTCATAAATTAACTCATGTCATTCTAAAAAAATTATCAATGAAAGTAATGAAATACTTGTTACTTCAATGAGTTGTTGTGTCCATAGACCCGCACATATCAGTATGAACAAGCTCCAATGGTGCTTTAGCTCTCCATGCCTTGTCTTTTGGAAATGCCTCCCGGTGTTGTTTCTCAATAGCACAGCCTTACCAACTTATTTGACTTCTTGAATCATCGACAACCCATGCACCATGCCCTTTTGTTGTAGATACTTCAAACTTTGAAAATTCAAGTAGCCAAATCTCTTATGCCAAAACCAAGTCTCATCCACAACATTCATCTTCAAAGCAATATTTTTTGCATACCTCAAAGTGAGAGGAGAACTTCTATTTTCCTCTATCTGATTGTTGCCACCATTTGCTTGCTCTCCCCATTTTCATAAATCTTGCAAGTATCATCTTTAAAGTGAACTACATACCCATGCTCCACCATTTGATCAACACTTAACAAATTTTGCTCCAAGTCTGGAACTAGTAAAACATTTCTGATGTATATTCTTCCTTTCTTGGTCATTACCACAATAGTACACTTTCCTTTTGCTTGGACTAAGGCACCATTACCCATTTTGACTTGTGAATTGGAGGAAACTTAAAGTTTGGAAAAAATACTTTCATCATCGGTCATGTGGTTACTACAACCACTATCAACAATCCAAACATCACATTTTTTCTCTAAAGCATTGTGACATGCATCAAGCATGTTCCCATCAATTTCTTCTTTTCTAGTAAAATTAGCTTGTTGGTTGGTTACTCTATAATCCTTCCTCACATTCCCAAAATTCTTGCAATTGTAACATTGTGGCTTCTCCTTAAACCAACAATCTTTCTCCATATGACTACTTCGATTACAAATTTTACACTTTCTTTGGGTGGACTCCTCATTTCCTTGTCTTTGAAAATTCTTCTTGTGAAAATTATTCTTTCCTCCACCTTTTGCATTATAAAATTTACCTTTTCGTTTTCCACTTTTCGATTGATTGAAATTCCAAGAGTTTCCTTGAGTTTTAGAACCAATAACATTGAGCTTAGATTGAAAAGTACTTTCAAGTGGCTTCTCCATTTGCTTACTCAATCTTTGCTCTAATGTTTTAATTGAACTCATCAATTCTTCAACGCTCAAGGTTTCAATGTTCTTAGTATTTTCAAGAATTGCAACAATGGGGTTATAGTCTGCCGTCAACGTAATTTAAATTTTTTCCGCAATTCTTTCATTAATTATATTATCCCCATGTATTTTTTATTTGGTTCACAATTTCTATTAATCTACAAAAATAATCTTGCAACACTTCACCATCTTTCATTTTCATATTTTCAAAATCTCTTCTCAAAGATTGAAGTTTAATTGCTCTTACCTTCAAGTTGTCCCGATACTCCTTTTGAAGAATATCCCAACTATCCTTTGCCTTGGTCTCATTGATGATCCTCGAAAAAATCTTGTTCAAAACTCCTTGTTGAATCATTGAGAGAGCTCTTACATCCTTCCTCTTA